TTCTCTTTCTTGTGTGTGTGTGTGTGTGTGTGTGTGTGTGTGTGTGTGTGTGTGTGTGTCAGGCCCCGGCCCGTGCCTTGCACCTGCTGTGGGTGAACTTTTTGGGCCCCTGGTTTATGGCAGAAAGCCCGTCAGCACCAGAGGAAGTGAATGAGAAGAAGCAGAGAAGACAAGAGCGCAGACAGATGAAGAGATTCTGATGCTGCAGAGCAGACGGAGCAGTATTTTTATACACAGAATCTAATATACAGATGGCGAGGAACTCATAAGTTATTTAGGAAGAAATTTTGTTATTAAGTTAAACTTGATCCAAATCTGATACTGTGGAATCTTGTTTTCCATGTTTGTTTTCTTTCTGCTTTCTCCTGTAATCAAATTTTCTCCTTAAATAATGAAATGAAATCTTCCCTATTTAGATAATGTCACGGTCCAAGTATCATTTGTCCTCATGCCGAGATTTAAGAGTTTTGCTGTTGCACAATCCCATCACACCGCCCCCTGCAGACTTCCATCGAATTCCTCCTCTGCGAACGAACCCTGCGATACAGTGACGAAATGAATCAGAACCATAGCCAGCTGAATTTATTCTGTCAGAGCCACTTTTGTCATGGCATGTGTTTCACTTTTATGTAATTGTATTTTTCAAAAATGCAGAATTCATCGGTGAGCCTTCATTACAGAGCCGAGATGTTTTGTTTTACAAGCTATTAAGTCTTATAAAATCAACTGGATATAATTCAAGTTTAATAGAAAAAATGTCAATGTTTTGCAATAAAAAAAATCTTCCTCCAGTATGTGGAGTTTCATCATTTCAAGTTTTATTTTTCAGGTAAGAAAGGTTCAGTGTCTGTTTTGTTAGTGTTGTGCCTTCAGCCATGGATTAAAAGAACTGAGCAATGTGTTTTTTGGGCTAAAATCTGCTTTTGTTGATCTAATGTAATCATTTGAATATAAGAAATCAAAAGTAGGAATGTTAAGGAAAAGTTTAAATTACAGTTCACATTAAAAGTATTCTTATTTACCTCTAAGAGCTAACTTGAATTAGTTTTAACATGATAACCTCCTGGAAGACGCTTACTTCATTTCTGTTGCTCAGTATATTTATCTGAATTAATATTTCACTTTCTAAAACTTTGGCAATTGTTTTTACTTCTGTCATTCTTCCTTGTTTAAGTGTAACTAATTGTGTAAACTATTGGGGCTTCTTCTTCTTTTTTGTTTGGCAGTATTTTAACTTAGAAGTCCAAATAGAAATAGATACTTTCTCAATAGAGATTTGAGTTGATTGCAGGGAACAAAAGACCCTTGCTGACATCCAGTTTTCCTGTCATTTGTTTATTTATGAAAAGCAGATATGATTAATTGTGATGTCGGGATTGTTCACAGAGATTTTAGTGGTGAAAAGCTGAATTACATTTTATTCAAAGAGCAGCTTAAAGGTCCAGTGTGTAGGATTTAGTGGTATCTAGAGCTGTAGTTTCAGATTGCAATTCACTCACTTCATCCTCCCTTTCTGAGGAGAAACGGTGGCTGCGAAACACATAAAAAAATTAGAAACATGGCAGTCTCCATGGAAGGTGTCTGTATATACACAGCTCATTGTAAGGTAAAGAAATCACAATTTCCTGTTTTCAGTATTATACACTAAAGAAAACATACCTATGAATATTATACTCCCTTTCTGCCAATAGAAATATGACACACTGGACCTTCAAAATTATTATATCAAGGTTTTTTTTTCAGGTTTTAGCTATTATCATTTTTGATTAATCACTTCCTAGTTTGGTCTATAAAATTGTCAGGAAATAGTGAAAAAAAATGGCCATCACAATTTTTCAATGCCCAAGGTGATGTTTTCAGATTATTTATTTTGTCCAACTAACCAATCCAGAAATATTTATTTAGTTTGATAAATGATTTATAATACGAATAGTCTATTGCCAAAACCATTGCTCATTAATTCCCTGTTGAGTGATTCAGCACTAGGATAGTTGTAAATTACTGCTGACCATAATCCAGTGTGTTTTTAGAGGGTGTTCTCAATCCAATGTAATCCTCCAATTAATGTATCTGAGAACAAAGAAAATCAACACACCTGGAGATATGTGGTTTTCACTGTACAGTGTTGATTTAAGTTAAAACAATGCCTGCTCAATATTTGAATTTACAGTTAATTCCTATTAATTAATAATTGTCTTTTCGCAACGGCCCTTGAAACTGTTCACATTTTTGAGATTAGATATTTAGGTTTAGATCTGACAAATCAGCGCTTAGATGACAGTTTAATCCCCAAATACAGAAGAAATGTCAACCGCTTGGTGCACGGATACATTCAACGTTTGTGTTTCCATCCGGTGAGTTGAGCCTTGTCCTCAGGGGGAAAATGTTGTTTATTATCGAGTCTACTAAGTGACTTTATACTGTCTATCCAGTGTTGACAAAGTGTATTCAGTGATTATGTTCATGCTCAGACTCCAAAGAGAGTGAGTGGGCTGGCTAAGCCCAGATCTGCTCCCAATATAATTACAGATTTCTCATTATTGTTACATTCATGCTTACCCAACTCAACAAGCTGCAACCTGCAGTCTTCATGTTTGAAGGGGAATCACTGCGATGGTGTGAATCCTGTTAAAAGGAAACAAAACAGCAAGGCAACTACAAAGTTTGCCGTAATCTAATACATACAGTAATTCAAATTTATTTTTACATAACTTTATACTTTTCCTAAAATGTCAATATCCCCACAAGCTTTTTCAAAATGACTGCTTTTACTTTGCCTGTGTCCTGCCCTCCTTCATTCCAGCCCTGTGGTCCTATACTGTCTCTATTATAGGGTTATAAACAAAGTAACCAAAATTAGAGCAGCAAGGCATCCAGTTGTCAGGGCCAATCCCAGATGTGGGCTTTGAGAGGGACCATGTTGCAGTGTAATTTAGCACTGGGGACACTCGCTTGCACGTTACCCCACCCCCTCAAAACTCACATATGTACTTTGTGCTTTCTGGAGGAAGATGTGCAGAAATGGAGATTTTATACATGTGTTATCTTAACCAATTGTCTGCTGAGAAATTCCTCAGTGAAGACTTTGAAAAATTTACCTCGTGGCTGGAAAAAGGACACAAGATTGTTTGTTCTCTAAGTTTTTTCATATGCAAACTTTTCTAACCAACACAAAATAATATCTGCTCTTACTAAAATAGGGAAGTACCTCCTGAAATAACGTGCTGCTTGTGAGAGCCTCTGTCTCGGCTGCTGATTTAAGATGGAGAGAAGAGAGAGGAGTGGGGGAGCGAGAGGTTCTTGTTTACCATGGCAGTAAAAAGGGTTCATCCTGACAAGATGAAATAAGGGAGTTGAGGCTGCATTCCATTTTCCAGGCTTTGTGTGTAGCTTTACATGCTATAATCTAAAAAATAAAAAATAAAAAAATACCAGCAATGGAATCAACTGAAGTGGAGCCTTTTGTCTCATCGGCTCCAGCAGAACATGGCCTTCACATTTTAAATCCCTTTACACTCACAGAGCTAGACAAAACAGGAAACTGGGGGGCATTTGGGCAACAGGCGAGCCTTTGACCCTTGAACTACAGCTCTCCCTGTCTTTGAAGTCAAGAGAGAGAATCACAAGCAATTACATACGATGCTGAGTGTGTTCCCTTGAACATTAAGCCTCCACTGTGTAAACAGAATCAGAGCTCTCTGAGTGTGTTTGGTGGAGCTGTGGGTGTAGTCCGCTTTAAGTTTATAATCTCTGCTCTGTTTTGACCTTGTTTGACTCAAACTAAACTGACCCAAACACTTCTCATAGTTTGTGTTGAAGCGAAGGAGTGGCTAGTGTTAGTCCAAAGACACTGTGGCAATTATTTTAAATTTTAATCTATGATCTACATGCTTTCTATTGCTAATAGCAAATAAGTATCACTGTTTCCAGCATCATCCTCTTGCTTAAAGATGACACCGGCCAGGCAGCGTTCACAGCTCCCACCATGGCCTTAAAAGGAAGCTGTAAAGAATTCCTGCTGCATTTGACTCTCTCTCTCTCTCTCTGTG